ACACACACACACACACACACACACACACACACACACACACACACACACACACACACACGCACGCACGCACACACTTTATGTCTGTTTTGAAATAAAGATTTTTTTGAACTTTTTTTTTATTTGAACTTTGAACTCTATTTATACACAAAACTCGTAAAAGTTTAAGGTTTTGGATTTCAAACTTGTCCCAGTAAGCAAAGAATAAACTGGTGCTAAATGTTTTGTGTAGTTTAGTGTTTTCTTTCTGCTAAAGTTGTAGTGTAGTCTGTAAAATGTAATCCTTTATCATACGCTTTCTGTTTTTTGGCTGCCAGTGATAAAAAGAACAAAGTTCAGGACAGAACTAGAGATTCGGACAAATTAATTTGGACAAAAATCTGAAAAATCTGGACTACAGTCAATATATATATATATATATAAAAATAATTAGGCAGAAATGATTCGGTAAGCTGCACATTATGTGGCACTTCGGCTCCATTGCTTCAGAACTGTTTTAATCCCAGACACACGTAAACTCAGATTAAGTCTGGACTCCAGAAATCTGCCTCTCACCTCGTACACCTCGTTCCACTTTGGGTTTAAGTTCTCTTGGATGACTTTGCTGTGATAAATATTCGTCCCGACTTTGACGATTCCGTATGGGTCCGACTTGCCTTTGATCAACCCTCCCAACAGCTTGTCCTTACTCAGGAGGTCCTGAGCCTCCATGAAGTGGATTCTTAGAACGGCCTGAGGAGACGAGAGACGATCGGGCAGTTATTGATGAGGTCTGTGTTTTCAGCAGCTTCAGAGATGTAACTCAAAGTTTTCATGGACGTTTGAGTGTGATACCTTGGGGATGGGGAAGCGGAGTCTGGCCAGGTCGGCCTCTCCCACCAGAGGGATGTTGATTTTGTTCGGCAGCACCACGTAGCTGTAGATGATGTCCTGGAGGAGGCTGTCGCACAATCCACTGAGACAGGAAGACAGGAAAAAGAGAGTTCAGAAAAGATCTGCTGATAAAATCCCARCCGTCACTCAGTTAATCTGGTGAAGCTGTGAAGATAAACTAAGACTAACGGGCTGAGAACCACATCCTCACTCATCCAGACAGGAAACGGATCCAAACAATAAATTGCAGCTGACGGTCGTAAAAATGACAGAGGGGAAAACAGGAGTCAGTAAAAAAWATATATAACTAAAGCCTTTAACAGTGTTCTAGATTTAGATAATGTTATGATTATCTTGTTTTTGTATTTCAAGATCTTATTTGTGATTTATTCTAGGCTAAATCTTTCCAGAACACACATCTGTTCAGCATTCATCAGCATTTTCTATCAGGATGAAGATATATCCATCAATCTTACAAAAAAACCAGAAATGCGCCTTTGTTTCTTTATTGTTTTGATTTTTTTTAACCTTTGATACAGTTTTAACCAGTTTCACTGTTAAAAAAATAATATAGTCTGTACTTTTTATCATTTATTGTTTTACTGCCACTGTAAAATCCTTTATCCTCTTCAGGAGAACAATAGAAGCTTTGAGTTTAGTCTGCGTGGTGGCACGATCTACCAAGAATGCAGAAACACGTTGGGATAATACCAGAAACGTCTGCGTGTATGATAATCAAATATGATTTAATTGTGAGCGACAAACAAACAGAACTGAATCAGGAAGGTTCTGCATGATTGTGACTGACTCGTCAGCAGAMTACAGCCAGTAATATACATCATGTCAACACCACGTGGCAGTTTACAACTAATCACAGATTGCCAAATATACTGTCCAGCCTATCACTGGGCTCCCAGCCCAWGAGTGTTATCAACCAAGAGAGTTCAGTCCGTTGCGGAGTCTTGAAGTCCGGAAACAAATGGACAACGAGAGAGAAATGAGCTATCAGAAAGATACGAGTGATGGACAGTGTCAAGGTGAAACAGATATAAATAATTAGTCCATGACAATCCCTCCTCTYGAGTAAACAATACTCAAAACCAAACCAAATGGAATAATTATGAARCGTCCAAACACAAATACATCACAAACRGATACAATGGAGAAATAAGGGAMAAATAGTGCAAGTTAAATGTCRACCAACAACATATACATTCAATCAATGTAAGGTACAACAGTAAAAAAGACTTAAATGTCAAGTGAAACATCATAACTCATCAGGAGAAAAACATGTCGAAATTTAAAAAACTCAAAAGCCCAAAGTTAGACAAGGTATCACAACACAAGTTCTGCCTCCCAGCGAATTTGGTTGCGTGAGCCGCCTATGTTCCATCAGAATCTTATCTTGGATAAAGTGTTAACTTAATAACAACTAGTTGTCAATTAATGAACCTCAAGTAATGCAAATTAGGACAATGTGCAAAATTCAGTTCAGGTGAAACAGATATAAATAATTAGTCCATGACAGTCTGTAAAAGTTTAACAAAATAAAAGTCCTGACATTTTTATTTAATTTTAAAAAATCCATGTCTGCATGTAAACGGAAGGAATTTGATTTTATATTCTTTAAAAAAAAAATTAAAAAGGGGAAAGCATGTAAAAAGATTACAAATCCTAGTTTCATTTTACAGAAAAGAGCTGTAAGAATTATAACCAGAAAACTTTATAATCACCCATCAAATATTGTTTTGTCAGTTGAAATTATTGAAATTTCATGAGTTGGTTGATTATAATATCTTACAGGTTATGTTTAAGGCTCATAAAAACATATTGCCTCTAAAYATCCAGTTAAATTTTGTTAAAAGAGAGAGCTGTTATAATCTTAAGGGGATTGAGACGTTTGTGAAACTTAAATTTCAAACCAGTTTGAAGGAACGATGTACGTCAATTCAGGGAATAAGATTATGGAATAATCTGGAAAGTGCTGTTAAAAATACCAGATCAATAAACATCAAGATGTTTATGTTTAAGAGAATGATTAAAATTGGTTTGTTGAAGAAA